TCTGCGCCAAGCACGGATCAGGCGGCTGTTTCCCCATCACCCGATGTAACGGCCGCGATGGATCAGATGCTTCCTGGAGTTCCAGAACAGCTCGGTCAGCCATCGGGTCAGTGAGGACCACCACACGTGCGTGTTGAACTTGTTGACCTTCCCTCAACACATAGCCCTCCGTCATGAAAGGTGATGGTCCGAGGATGGTCATCGTGCGAAAGGGCGGAATCAACGGCCCAAAACCCGCTCTGTGCCACCTTTTCGTTTTGACCGTGACACGAGCTCCAATTGGCATCAGCGGTGCGCAAGGAACTCCAAGCTTGATGCATTGACGCCGTAGTCGTTCTTCACCAACATAGCGAGCAATGCCAGGCCACAGCTCTTCTCCAAGGCCACTTTCTTTGACCAGCATTCGGAGCCGTCTTTTGACCTGTTGCACCTCCGTTTCAATTCTCCCATTTGAAGGGCCTTCATCGCCCCCCGTCATAGTTTGGTAAAGGCCAAACCGCCGGCAGAAGGACTGGAACACCTTGGAGAAGAAAGCGCACTCTCTGTCAGCGTGGACACGGATGATCTTCAGGCCCATCGCTTTGAAGCGGCAGTACATCCTTGTGGCCACCTTGGTGACATCATGTTGGCCTCTCGACTCCAGGGGCTCCACCAGTGTAATGTTTTGGACTCGCACTGGTGCAGCCAAATCATCAATGTGCTTTTTCCAGCCTTCATTGAGAGCGACTGCATCCTCCTCCGCAACCTGGTCTTCATCATCCACTTCATCCAGCTGAGGCAGAACCTGTTCGCCATCTTCTTGATCGGCGGGCTCTTCATCACCTCCTTGGTCTGCTGGACCTTGGTCATCATCTTCTCGATTGTCAGGGCGGTCTTTATCATCCTCTGGCGGATGATCTCCATCTCCCCCCAAACCACGAGGCAGCTTTGGAATGGCACCGTTGCCACCATGATGTACTTCGACTTCGTGCCCAAGCCCACATCATCTCCCAATGGCATTGGCCCCAGAATATCATAGGACAGGCAGTGAGCTGATCGATCTCCTGACGTCCTCCGGTGCGGTGCATCCACGCCCATCAGCTCCATGCATCGCCGACAATCCCTCCTGTAGGGTTGGTGTTGATTTCGAACATGGGCTTTCCAACTTTCCATGCTCATCCGTTTCACTCCAGGTTCACCGTGGTGCACGATCTCCTCCGCACGCCACCTGCGCCTGTAGTCCAGGAGGAAGTTCTTCAAGCATTCTTTCACCGCCGCAACCAAGCCCGGCGCCCAGGTCGACCACTCCCTCGATTGAGCCAGCCTCCCGGTAAGCGATGTCGCTTCCGCTTCTCCTCGACCTTCTCCAGACACGCCATCTAACTCCTTCATCTGTGGGAGATTGGCGACCATCAAACATGTTGGTTTTCTTTTGACGTGGCCCATAGGCCCTTGATCCATGGTCAGCAAGGATGCGCCCATCAGCTCTCTGGCCTTCTTCACTTCCTCAAAGTTCCAGAAGCTCGGCATGTCCTCCTTGGTGGCCTCAGTTGACATGTAGTCCATGGGGTCTCTTGGCGACTCCATCAGGAATCCAGGTGCTGGTCGTCCTCCACGGTGCTCATCAGCGAGGAGCCATAGACCAATCTGTTTCATCATCAACGCACAATCGCTGAGGGCCAGCTCCTGCTCCAGCGAAGATAGTCCCTCCAGCATGAATCGGCGGTCATCCCGACCTCTCAACGGGCGTGGACCCGGAGCTCGGTGCCTCAACCGTGACACCGTGCGGCATGGCGGCCCTCCCAACACAGCAACCACCAGTCCTCGTCGGGCTATAGGTGACATAGATACCCCCAAGTTCCAATGCCGTGGAGGTCAAACTGTGCGCCCATCGTCACATCCACATTCAAAATCTCGAAGCCACCCCAGTCCGTCTTAGACCAACTCTTATAGTCCTTCCCGGCAAAGAGGTTGACAATCACACCACGAGACACCAGGTGCCGTCGCCGCTGACGTCGATTCCAGGGACAAGTGCAAGCATCAAAGCTGTCCTGGCCCTTCATGAACTCCCACACCTCCGCAGGGACCTCAGGAAATCTTGATGACCACCATGATCGTACTTCATCATCAGTGAAGATCTCCCCCCGATCTACCTTCTCCATGGTGCCGAGCAATTCCAGCGCCTTGGCCTCAGGTAGAACCGGACATCCCCCACGAAGCGCGCAGTCAATCCTGCCATGATCAGGGTGATTGATCTTCACTCCAGCTGCCGTCCACTGAAGCCGATACCCCAAACCCACCAGTCGATGGAGCGGGACAATAACCTCCACGTGGTCCTTGGACAGCAAGGTCTTGTGGTCATCCACCCTGAACAACGTCGTTGACCCTGAGGCCAACTCCACCCTCACCGGGTACATCCTTTCCAGCTCCTGCTCATGTGCTCGACGAAGACCATTGGTCGCCCCTCCATCTAGCAAATCCAACAGGTGCCACACCATCAGTGCCCACCGGCTTCAATTCCTTCACACGAAGCACCTTCATGCTCCGTAGTGTCTTGAGCAAAGACGTTGCCTCAGAGAGCAACTCTGCCGTAGTTTCCCGACCCAGTGGCTTCTCAGGTGTTCCTGCCATTCTCGAAGTGGTCGTGGTAGGAGGCGACGATGACCCCGGAGACGGCTCTTCACTTATGGGCTGCTCCTTGGCGATCTTCTCGACGATCTCCCCCCTCTCTCCTTCCTTCGTGGCCTTCACCTTTGAGACCTTCTTTGGATCGGTCCTTCCAGTCTTGGGTTGGTGAGGACATTCACGCTTCATGTGGTTCCCACCGCAACCGAAGCACCGGTTCTTCATATCCGAGGTGTCGTGGGCGTAGGTGCAAGACGCTCCTCTCCTGCAACCCTCCTCCGACTTCCAAAACTTGCAAGCAGGCCTTCCCGCTGCTCGCTCCTCATTCTCAGCCGCTCCAAACGACGATGCCATAGCCTTCAGTGACGTCGAGGCCGCTTGATTGGACGAGGCCGCCGGCTGAGCCAGTGGTGCACCACCCTTCTGAGCAGCAGTGAGAGACATTTCTTCGATCTCCGCCTGCACATACTCAGCCAGCTCAGTGACTCCTTCCAACGAAGCTGCATAGTCGACTCGGAGTTCTTGCCGAACATTTGAGATCCTGAATGACACCTGAGTGCCTCCTGCTTTTTGAGTGCTGTCGATCATGCGCTGCAGGGCGTGCATGAGGACCAGAGGGTCCGGAAGGTTGAGGTGAAGTTCTTGTGCACGAGATAGCCAACGTCGCCACAACCGGACCTGCATCAACAATTCTCCCACCGATGTGGAGAACTTCGACTCCACTAAATTCTTGAGGAGTTGCGTTTTTTCAGCGCCGCCTCCCGGCTGGTACGCCACATGGAGCCGGTACAGGATGTGCACCGCGGACAGCTGCCTTCCAGACACCAAGTCCCGACGAAGCTGATCAGGTAGTGCTCCTAGTAGCATGGCAATTCCACGCTGTTCAATCCGTTGAAACGCTGGATCCACTTCAACCTGAGGTTTCGATCTCAGCCTCTCCAGCGGGCTCAGTCGCAGCCATCGCGAGTAGTGCTCCTGCGCCACCATCAAGGACTCTTCCCACCAGGCCTTCGCCGAGTTGGAGATGTCAGCCATCAGCGGGAATGCCATAGTCAGCCAGTCGCCAAAGAGAATCGAAGCTCCTTCTCCATTGGGCGCCGGAAGTGAGGGAAGCTCCAAGTTTCGCAGAGCCTCGGTCGTCGATGCCACGGGAATTCCAGCCCCAATCCTGGTCACCTTTCCTGCTCCACCACCAAACCCTGAAGATGATGTCCCGGTTGCGGTCTCATGTAATCCAGGGGGTCGATCAGGTAGTGACTCACCAGCACCATCACCAGAGTTCCCACCTTGACCATCAGTGGAACCACGAAGTTTCGCCCGCTCGCCCACACTATTCGCCGATTCAAACGTCGACGAACCTCCACCACCTGTCAGCCTCTTGACCTCCTTCTCGAAGTTCAAATGGGCTTCACGAAGGATGCGCTCCCGGATGGCCTCCAGCTCCTGAGACGTCGGGCTTCTCTTCACCTCTTCACTAGGGGGTCGAGGACGTTCAGAGCGGGATCCCACGTCAGGAGCACGATCACGATCACTCCAAAAAGGATTGGTCTGCTGCCGCCCATGTTGATGGGGTGTGGACATGTCGTAGGGCTCAAGTACTCTAGGTTGTGGACCACCTTCACCATTCATGCTGCTCCTGTCCGCTCTCGGCGGAATTGGAAACTGAGGCGATGACGCTGCCTCCCGCTGCCAAGCCCCTTGCCCTCCAGGTTGTCCTGGATCATCAGCGCGAGGGTGTCCTGAATCGCGGCCATGAAATAGAGGTCCAAGAAGTCCTTCAGGAGGCGGAGGTCCCACCGGCATCGGTCCTTGGGAGTTTGGTCCAAAGGCCCTTTGCAACACCTCCAGGGATTGCCTCACCGTCTCCTGCCAGCCAGCTCCTCGCTCCTGCCTTTCCGCCAGAGGAGGCTGCCGACCACCATCAGCCCTGCCAGCCGCCGCCGAGGTTCTCCTGCCTTCAGCCGCCGCAGGTACACCACCCACCCTCTTCACTGCAGGAGGCATGGATGTCGCTCGCACCTCTTCGAGGAGGGTATCGAGCCTCTCATCTGCTGCGCCCACTCTCAACTGCCCTTCGCGATCTCCCGGATCTCGCAGCTTGCCTCCATCTCGTGAGGCCCGGCGCCGGCGCGCGGCGAATCCGCTCATGGGGACCAGCGACCTCAACAATGAGGGTGGACTTCAAAAGCTCCTTGGGCTCATAACCTGTGGTTATGGAAAAAGCAGTGGAAAAAGCCTCAAGCGACCGACAAAAAACAGCCGCTCACGTTGTTCCTTGAGCCAAACGCAGGTCGTATTGACCATGGTTTCACCTTCTTCAGGTGTTCATGACCTTCATGAAAAAGTATGCTTTGGGTCGTGCTTTTCCATTCACAGAATCATTTTGATGAACTTGCCTTCACCCGCTCACATTCTGCTTGCCACCAGTGGTGCGAAGACCTGCTCGTGTGGGTCTTGGAGCTAGGTCCGGCCAATCGTCAAACAGATTTGTCTGCTGTCAGGCTCCCGCTCACTTTGTGCTTTTCTGCTTTCAGCCACTTCAGCCGCATGTCTTGTTGCCTCTGACTAGGATGAAAGCAGCTCAGGAATATGCAAGTAGCACAGCTTTGGCTGTGGTTGTGTGGACGTCCTGACGAGCATAACATGTCGGTATTAGTGAGTGACTCTGCAACAATGACCTAACCTCCAACTGGTCTTTGAGCTCCTTCAGCTGGTCCTGCAAGTCACCTCATGGGCGATTCAGGGCAAAAACAAGCCAGCGCGGAAATGGCATGCCACAAGGCTGTGGCATGCCATCGTCATACATACTTCATCATATTTCTGTTAGCCCTTGCTAAGCCAAGCTGCGCTCACGCTGGGCAAATGTGGAGGCTGAAGCCTGGTGGAACCAGGGAAACGATTTCCACCCGTTTGAATGCACCACACATGTGCCACGGTCCTCCGTCTGCTTTAGCCTCTGTTGCACCAGCTCCTTTTCCTCCTCAGTTCTCCCACATCTCTGCTGGGCAGCGCGGGCTTCTTCCTGGGCCTTGCAGAAAGGTCATGAGTACATTGGCGTGTTTTGCGCAACAGCTCGGCCTGGACGGCTTGCTCTTCTGCGGCATTGATTCTTTTGCGCAAAGCTGGCAAGTCTGTTTCTGCATTCGCCAGCAATGCCTGACATGTAAAGTTCCAAAATGTTTCAGGCCCCTTCAGACTCACAATTCACCGTTGGTTGAGACCTGCATCGGCAACAAATCCCAGGACCCTGCACTTCTGGCCTGAAGCTCACTCATTTTGGAAGCTTGCTTTTTGGCCGTGGCTGATTCCTGCAAAGATTTCACGATGGACAAAGAGCCATGCCATATTCACTCTGTCCTGCGCTAGCTGCACCTTCAAATCTTCAACTTCTGCCTGGAGCTCACCTAAGTTCAGCGACTCGCTCGACATCAAAACGCAAAGTGTAAGTACGTCATGCATCTCCTCACACCTCCACATACAATGATTCTAGTTTGCCAAGATTCTACAGCTCGACAGAAGTTGCTTTGCTTCTTGGCACTTTTGTTCGAATTCATCCTCAACACCTCGGCGCGGTTTCAAACCAGTTACTGGTCAAGCCTTATAAGCCAAGCCTTGGGCGCAAAACATATGAATTGCCATGGGAAGGCGGATCTTTGCAGTCAAAGGGCTTGTGAGCTTGATTTTCAGCTCGACGTGCTCCTTGCGAAACTTCCGCAGCTCTTCTTCCAATTCCAACTCTCTGTCAGAGTTGCTGATGACGAGCTCAGGTTCCGCATCTGTAGCTTCTTGGGCCTCATGAAATCGCTGCTTGAGGACCTCAAAGACCTCCCGTTGATTCAGCAGGGTCTTACGGCCATCTTCATTCAGCATAATGGACGGTCTGTTGCTCGCGGCCGCGACACTTCTTGTCTCGATCCGTGCCAACAGCTCATTACGAAGCTGGTCAAGAGAGTGAGCCCGTTCACTGCCAATCTCTCCTCTCTGCTCTTGCTGCAATGTGCTCAGGTGTCTCTGTCTTTGCTCAAGTTCTGCCTCAGCGGCAGTCCGCTCCAGGCTCTCTGACATGCACAGTTCTAGTGCCCCTAACACCCCCCCAAGCAATTTAGTTCTAAAAATGCTATCTCCTGGGCCCCTCAGATGACTATATAGAGATGTGTTCTGGAGTGGTCTCATGTTGCACTGCCACAAACAGGATAGATAACAATGACAAGGATGCCTTCTCTTCGGCTTCACGTCGTGCCTTCTCTTCAGCTTCTAGTCGCACCTTCTCTTCGGCTTCACGTCGCACCTTCTCTTCCGCTTCACGTCGTGCCCTGTCTTCAGCTTCAAGGCGTGCTTTCTCTTCAGCTTCACGTCTTGCCATGTCTTCAGCTTGACCTCTGGCTTTCTCTTGGGCTTCACTTCGGGCCTTCTCTTCAGCTTCATGCCTCGCTTGCTCTGCTGCTTCTTGCTCTCGCTTTGCTTGAGCCGCCTTGGCACTAAGTTCAACAATTTTGCAGGCCCCGCATATAAAGAGTTTTGGGCCAGAGCATGTGTTTGCGGTGCTTCAGCTGTTGGGCCGTTGGGTTGTGGACAAGCAAACAAACAAAGAAACAGCCCTCTAGCCAAGTGTGTAGTAATTAGGCATTGTCGTAAGTTGTCGTACCACCTACGCCGATTGACGCTTTACGGCACACAAACAGGAAGAAAAGTGGGGATATGTTCTAGGTGTGCACCATCGTTTCTGCCTGGGAACGCACGAAGACAGCGTGTGCAGCAAAAATATGTAAAAATGTGTTCCACTTCCACAGTACATGTGCTGATACCGACTTAGTATATTATTGCCTTTGCTCACAAAAAATAACTAGGCTCGAACCTACCAAATATTTATATATATAATATATATATATACACATCTCACCGGGCACAATGTAGCAATCCCTCGTGCCAGTGCTGCAAATGAGAAGGGCCTTTTGGCTTTTCATACGGGCATGGAAGCACTGCCAAAGAAAAGCAGCAAAGTTGATGTGATGTGAGCACCAGACTGAACCCTGAAGCAATGTACAAAAGAACGTGATACAAAAACAAGGTATGCGGCTTCTGTTGGGACCTTTGAAGAGCACCTATTGTAGATAAGCTATCAGCTATCACTCATGAATGGCAATCACAGTCAGTTCTTTGGCAAGAACAGCCCGTGCAGACGTGGAGCGCGGAGGCTATTCTGAAAAACCAGGACAGATCTCAAAGAGCGCAACCCAGCTTGCACTTGCAGTGTGGCCAGCTGCTTGGCACCTTGGTACCGTTGTGGGAGACCCTGGAAAATGTAAAAACGACTGGTCGCGAATTTTCGGGACGTCCCACCATGACCTGCATCTGCTGCAAAGATGCGATACTCATGGACAGGTCTCAGGGAACGCAATGCAGCTTGTACTTGCATTGCTGCCTGCTGCATAGCACCTGGGTGTCCACGATGGAAATATTAATTGCTCTGGCTGATAATGGGCCTTCCAAAGATGGCTTCAAATAAAGGATGATTGAAATTAATATATTGCACGAATCCATGGAAGGTGGGAAGCAATGCTCACTCGGCAGCACAAATACCGCACGACCTGCATCTGCTGCAAAGTCGCGATACCGACGCCTTTCTCGAAAGCCACGCCAACGCTTGGAAATTCGCAGGACGAAGACCTAAAAGCAACTCTATAGATCTCTCTAGATATATTGACCAGGTTTGAATTGGCAAAAGAATGTCTTGGATCTGCCTTCACCGCCTCAGCGATCGCCTTGTCCAGTCTTGATTGGACTTCCTCTTTCCTGGGAGTACTTCTGCTGAAAAGACACCAATTCTTAGAACAACAGAACTTTGCACCAGAAATCCCATCACAATTCACTTCTACAAGCAGCAAAAAGACTTTGCTTCTCCCAATCTGCCAGGATCGTGGCTCCTTGCGTGGGTTTGCACCGGAAGGGTGCGGGTCCGCGACCGCGACCGTCGAAAAATCCTCCGCACAAAAGATATGTGAGGCCAGGGCCAGGACTGCCGAAATTACAAGATGTCAAAGTCAAATCAATCTATCGCGGCAAAGTCTCCAGGGGCTGCGCTGCCTGCCACTTCGCCTTAGATGCAACTCTCAGAAAGTAAGTAAGCCTAAGCGGCATCTGACCGCTAATTACAAGTCAACAATGGGAAGCCGCGGTGTTGAAACGCGCGGAGAGAAACAACAAACAGTGCGACAAATGGCTGCAACAATTGCAGAAAATGAGAAACACATGCAGAATGACTACCAACAAGCAGAGCAACTGAAGGAAAAAGCAAAGAACACCTAACACGTTCTATATACACCACAAAACAGGCCTTTAAAGATCTGAAGTTACCACCAAACTGCGCACCCGACCCAAAGAAACAACACAACACGAAGCAAAAAGTTGCACAAAAAGTAAAGCTGTTGATTGTCCATATATAGTATTTCTGTACGTCGCATAGTCATGTTCAGTGCATGAGCCCGGCTTGTTTTGGATGGTGAGATTGTGTTGCCAGGCAGCCACCAAATATCAAGCCAACTACTTACAGTCAAGCGTCTTCGATGTCTGTCATCACACGTCTACTGAGCTCCTTGTAGTCTGGATCAGCGCTTCTGCTCGACACATGTGGGCAAAGTATACGAAACCTGGCTAAGCCGCGAGAATTCCATCTGCAACATGTTGGGTAAACGGGGGGCTTGTTCGGGTCACTCAACTTATCGTCTTGGAGTTCATGAACTCCAAGACGATGACTTGAGTGGATGTTCAAGACACTCAATGAGACAAGGTCTGCTGTCCAGCCTCTCCCGTCCTCCACAAAAAACGTGTAAAAGACATGTACTTTCGATGAAAGTGAGAATTCCAAATATCGAACAAGACCAACCTAAAATCGATGAGACGATCAAAACGTAAGGGTGATCGACAGTTTAACAATGAAACCTCCTGAGCAAAAGACAATGGGCATCGAAACAAAAGGGATCAGCCGCGAAAAAATCCCTCAGATGCTGATTGGGGGAAGGGCACTTCAAACGCAACAAAAGAACTAACGACTAACACAAACAAACCTTAAACGTGGAGCCCACCATGTCCTCCAAGCCGACAGTGTAACGCAAGTTTCGATTTGCGCGAGCAGAACCACGAGAACACGAACGAAACTGTCCCCGGCCGCCCCCATTTTCTACTGAAACACTTTCGGGGCAAACACCCCCGTTGACCTAACATGTTGAACATACGATACTTGTGCTCATGGATACTTTATAGTTACATGTGTGTCTCAATATGATCTGCATATATGATAATACATGATAATACAATAAATGTATCATGCAGATGGGCACAGTTGCTCGACGCGCGAGTACAAGCTTCCGTTGCCTGTTGAAGAACTCCTTGAAGGGCCGTCGCACTGGATAGCCAGCCTCAGCTTGAAGAAAAATGATGCAAAATGTTGAGTTATAATGAGTTATATAATTACTGTAGCTCTTGAAGAACAAGTTGTCAAAGACATGTGTCCACAAACACGGCCAACGTGCTTTTGGTTGCTACTGCAGGGCCACTTCTGCCCAGCAGCTCTTCTGATCCGAATTGATTCCAGCATTCCGGCACACCGAAGCTGCCTCTGCACGTCCAATGAGTCCATCTCACGCGCCTGCGCACTGAATAGCACTGCCAACTTCAGAAGATCCTTAAATGCAGACTTGCCATGCCTTGCCTGCTTGTTGCTGTTGGGCTTGATACATCGAATGTATCGTGGATTTGTGCCTCGTTCGGTTGGCCGCTGCGAACAAACACAAGAAAACAAACGAGCACTGAGGACAGAACGATTGAGATCCTCCACAAGCTGGTCCAGCTGCTGTCGAAACATCATGCTGACGGTGATGTTTTGCCTTATTCTGTCCAGCTACGCCGGTGTCCAACTTCCGCGCATTGTCATTTGTGTGCATTTGCACATGCGATGTGCAAGTGCATATGTAAATAATGATAGATGTGGGGGCAGGCGTGCGTCTTTCGGCCTTTGGACTTTTTGGCATCTTTTCATTACAGCTTTGTCAACATGCATCTGAAAATGGCCACACTAAATGCCGCATGCTGCATGCTGCTTGTGTTCTTGGATGTTTTGGTGTCTTAGATTGCTTTCCCTGGAGCCTTTTGATCACACCATCCTGTGGTGGCTGCGTTGGGCTAAGTAAGACTACAAACAATAATATGCGTCCAAGTTTCACTATCGAAACTTCACTGACGCCTGTGGTTGTTTTCTTTGAGGGTGCCATCTCTGATGAAGAACCCTGGTAATGGTGCAAAAATATCCCTTGCATCCCCAATGGCAATTACAGTATATAAGTTGACTCACGTCTCACGTGAGTCGATGAGCGCGAGAGGTAGTAACAGGTTGTAAAGCTGAAATGAGCACGCCACCTTCTCAGCACCGGCACAGCCAACACCAACCGCAAAAGCAGCAGCAAGCAAAAGAAGTACAGCACAAGCAAAAGCAAACCAACAAGCACAACCACAAGCTTTCATTCTGCTGAAAAATCCCTGCAGGAACTTCGAGTGATTTCTCACAATGCTGTCTTGCTTCATCTTGATTCCACTGCATTTTGGGTCTCTCAGGCTCACGCTTGGCTCTTTGGTTTGTTTCTCCACGCCGAGGCGGAGGCGAGGCCCCAGATCGCGGAGCTTGCGCCTGAAAAAAGTTGACAGAAAAGAATATTCTTGTTACTAGTAGCTTCTTGCTCCTAGTAGTAAGGCACTTGTTACTAGTAGCGATGCACTTGTTACTAGTAGCTTCTTGTTACTAGTAGCTTCTTGCTCCTAGTAGTAAGGCACTTGTTACTAGTAGCGATGCACTTGTTACTAGTAGCTTCTTGCTCCTAGTAGTAAGGCACTTGTTACTAGTAGTAAGGCACTTGTTACTAGTAGCGATGCACTTGTTACTAGTAGCTTCTTGCTCCTAGTAGTAAGGCACTTGTTACTAGTAGCGATGCACTTGTTACTAGTAGCTTCTTGTTGCTAGTAGCTTCTTGTTACTAGTGGTAATGGCCTCCAACCTAATAGCGATGGCCTTCACCTGGTAGCTTCTTGTTACTAGTAGTAGGTGAACAATGGCCCACTGTTGCACATGTTGCTTCTTGTTATATAAGTGCCTGTGTGTCCGGGGCAAACCGAGGATCCGAGAACAGCCTCGGGAAAACTGGAAAACATGCAACAAGTTGGATGGTGAGTGGTGTAGCAACAAAAGTGTAGAAGAAGAGCAACTTAACCTTCAAGACTGACGAAGTGCATATCTTGCATGTCCTGTCCCCTTTCCAAAATTGGAAAGCATTCTACTAGCACCACATCACAAACCCGTTCCTTCTTGCACTGCATTATTTCTTCTTTGGAGAGGTTTGGGAAAGATTGGCTACAAGTGAGTAACTAGAAGGAACAAAGGAATCCCGTGACTGGTGAAAGATACTCCAATGTTTAAGGATGTTGTAATTTAAGGCAATTTATGAAGATTAAGGATGATCAAGAAGATGATAGAAGAAGGACACGAGCAGAAGCAGAAATACATGCAGTTAATGAGCCAATGAAACCAGTGCATTCTACAAACCATTCGACAATATTCCAAGTACTCATTTGATCCGCTTGGGAATATTTTACGTACCTCGTTTTTGGTCAAAACGGGGTACTCACTGTAGAAGACGTAGAGTAATTGAAATGACGGAAGGTATGGCGGCTCAATTCCGTATTCTATGTACTCAAGGATCGTTCTATATATATATATATAAACTAGTATCTGCGTGTGTGTCTGTGTGAGTGGACAAGTGCAACACCATCACCACACAGGGGCACCTGTGTAGCCTGTGTGCGACACTACTCTAGAACTTCTTGTTTTTGTGTGTTTCTGGTTGCTAGTAGCTTCTTGTTACTATATAGTGGTAATGCTAATGCCCTTGTGACTAGTAGCCTGTGTGTGCTTAGAGCTTCGAAGCTCGGGACCAAATAAAACTTTTGAGCATCGGACGAAACTGCGACGGTGCTCAATGCTCAATCCACATTGCTGCATAGGAGCGTGTTCAAGACTGGCATAGACGACGATTTCAGTAAATTGATAATGTCCTCGTCTGCAAGGAAACATGTCTCGGCCTTCTGTCTCGGCGAGAGTCTCTTCAAGAGTCAAGCCAAGGCTCGGCGTGCAGCTTATCTGTGTTCTTCCTGGGCAGACGAGTCACGGAAGTGCTGCAGAAAAACAATCGGTCTCGCTGGCACACATCTCAATGCTTCCAAGGTGCTCGATAAATGAGAGAACCTCAGATTCATCGGCAAAACGGATGGTAGAGTATATCAGATTATATCAGTGTATATCGTTTGTGGATAAACTGAGGAAGGGAAATACGCCATGAGATCAATGAGATCCCCACATCGTACACGACCTCACCAGCATAGTGCGCCACAGCAAAGTTGGTGGACTTGAAGCGTGAGGTCTTGTAAACCTGGATGAAGAAGCTCAAACCCCACCAAAGCATACTACAACTTCAAGCAATCAGCATGTCGTTGTCACTTCTGCAAGCAGAAAACAGTCCAGAAACTCGCACTGAGGCTGGAACCACTTTTGATGACTTAAAGGTGCTGTGAATCTTGCCTGGATAAGTTGCACAAAAAGTTCTCTGGTGGAAGCTCAGTTCAGTTGTTCAAGGCAAGCGGCTCAAACATGTGTCATCTGTGGCATTGGGCATGAGGCATTCGGAATCCAGGATGCAGAAAAGACCAAACCTCAGAAGCATGATGGGGCCTGACAAAAAAACTTTGAGGTTGAATCCGTTTGCCCAATTGCCGTGGAAGGAGCGGCTTCTTTTCCAAGCCATCGATAATCTCTCGATTGTCTTGCCTCAGCGAACCCGTCCCACCCTTGGAACCTGGAATCCCGTGGAGCCGATGCCAAGCAGCCACTCAATGTGACTCCACGAAATGCCCTCTTCAGTGTAGAGACGCTGCTCCATTGTGAACCTCTCGACAGTCCATGTTGTCATGGTGACCTGGAACCTGCACTGCCTGCTATGCTGCTTGACTAGATTCATGATCATGAAAATGTTAGGACTGCTAAGATCCTCAAACAACATCAATCTCTGTAGATGTTGGGGGTTGCATGCCAAGCATCATGTGGGAATTGAAATGCTGCTGTAGCTTCTCATTTGCGAAATTGATGCAAAGTTGCCTCAGTGTCTCAGTCCAGCTCAGGGGCTTGCATGGATGGCCTACGGGCCTCCACCTACACCATCAAAAGTAAAATCCATCCGTGACGTGGACTACTCGCTGAGCTGAGCCACTCAAATGAATTCCACTCAAAGACCTCAAACCCATAGATGTCTAAAATGCCAATCTTTTTCATGCTCTCCTGCCATAGTAAGAATACAAGGGCAGCGGACACTGAATTTCCACGATGAATGCCACAGCGGAAAGCGGAAACGATGTCCTTCTTCCCTGTGCCTTTCCCGGCAGTGCTCTGATTGATCCGCCATACCAGCCAATCAAACAAACGGGAGTACCTTGTGAGTTGTGACAGGGCAAAACCTATCATAATCTGATCCTCCGTTCAGCGCCCAGGCTACAAATGCTTGGCCATGGAGTGCCGCGTGTTGGATGAGTTCGCAGGGTCCTGCAAAGAGCATAGGGCACGAAGCAATGGAAGATAATGGAAGCAATGTACTCGCGTCACTGGAGATAGAATTGTAAACGCCACTGTGCAGCACGCAACAGTCTGCTCCTGTGGCATGTTGATGATCTGTCTGGAGAAGGGATCTTCCAGAGTCTTGAACCTTATGGCGAAGCTGTGAGTGGCCCAAAGCTCCGACAATCTTGCAATCATGGCTTGAGATTGCCAAGGCTCTGAAACGTCCTTGTGAAGTCTTCCTTTGAGACATGCAGAAGCTCGCAGATCTTGTCCGCCATTGCGGCGTCACTTATCAGACTGCCGTCACTTCCCTCCTCCGGGCACAAACTTGTGTCAGTTGCCAAAATTATAGAGCCCTTTGCTACTAGCTTCTTGTTCCTAGTAGCGATGCCAGGAGCTACTAGTAACGTCCTTGCTCCTAGTAGCGATGCCCTTTGCTACTAGTAGCATCCTCTACTGAGCAGCTGCTCGATCATCCAAAAAGGGCCCTTTGCGATTCAGTCGTCTTTTCAATCCCTGCGGTCTCAGCACGTGCCCTCCTCAAACTGCATATCACCCAAGTGCAGCACCTGAAGAGCTGGAGGCAAAAAGAGGTACAAGAGGCCCCAATTGACTTCATGAACGCAAAAATCGCAGCTTTTTCTCTTGGACCCATCTTGGCAAGGTACCGCAGCAACCAACTGGAATACTGACCGTTTTTCCTCCATGCTGAATCCAAGGCCATCCATGCATTCTACAGCCTCCTGCACGAGCCAAGGGCTGGGGACAAGTCACTGGCTGAGCTACAGTATCTCTATATTTTCGATGAATGAACTTGTCTAAATTCCAACCTCTAACATGCTGGCATCATCAACTCCATCGATTTCGGTGCAAACCTGCAAGCATGCAACAGAAAAACGGTAGAATGGTGCTACCAAAGGATCAAAAAGTCGTTGACTTGCCAAGTAGCTGAAGTGTATGCATGTTGGTGCGCAGCCCGCAAACCCAGAGATGGCATGTCTGGCGACATGGCAGCCCCAGCGCAAATCTGGTAGAAGACCTCTGAATATAGAACGCACGTGGCCATTCCAAACAAGACTTGATAGGGTCTGGGGCCCTTGAGCTTAGCGAAGATAGCACCTGCACTAGGCTCCAGGCGTGATAGCCTCGTTCATCAGGTTGTTGCTTGACCTAAGGTCGGCTTAGACCTGTTCTATTCAGTAGGAACTTTATAGACTTATCAAAGGCCCGCCCTCTTGCACAAATCCTTCAATGTCTTACGCATGTTGTTGCTGCACGCATTCTATGGGAGGGTTCCGAACACATCTGGGATGCGCCGAAACACGATCCTGCTCTTCTCCAACAAGTAGTTCGAGATGCGAGCGCTGGTGAGCTTCCCGGACGGATCAAACCTGAACACACTGGACTCACTTGACCACATAAGCCCGCTATAGTGATCTATAGCCAGCGGTCAAGGCGCTCAATGTCAATGAATTTGCCAAAGCGAGAAGAATTGTCATTCCGGATGGTTTTGGCCTCGATAAACGCGGGCATGGAATGGGGCAGGCGACTCATTTTGGAACACACGAACGATTAGGCTTAGTTTGGAACACAGGCTATTAAAAACCTCTAAGTTGTATCCTCAAAATTCTGCCCTGCTATGTCAGAATGGCTCCTTCCTTTTCTAAAAAGAACGGGGAGAAAATAAAGGAAAACACTGACTGAGAACAAGAAAAAAAAAACATAGAAACCACAGATCACAAGAATAATTCAGGAAACAACAAACCTTGGATGCTGACTGCGACAAAAGAACAAATCAACCAAGACACGCGTTCCAAAACGATATTAATCTCCCGCGTTCCAAAACGAGGCGGTTCGCATGGACTATTATAGCCTCGCCAACTTCTAAGCCCGAGGCATTCCCAAAAGCCTCGAGGATTGGATTGGATCTCAACACTTGCTCTTCAACGCTCATCTTTTCGGTCTCAGTGCCTCCACAATTCAGAAATTCAGACTCCCCCAAAAAAATAGTCGAATCAGCATGGAACAGCCGCAGTTGCATCATCACAGGTCCTGAAGTTTGTTGAAGATTGGCAAAATACCTTGGCCGTTTTACGAGGGCAGGAGCTGACATTTCAGGTTGCACAGCTCCGGTTTGAATGAAGACTGCTCCACCTACTCACATGAAACGAAGCGTGCACAGCGCAGAATCTGCAGAAGCATCGTATGTCGGCATACTCTGCGACTAGGACTGACTAGGAACATGTGGCTCTGAGCGCTAGCCTTTCCCCTGATCCAGTGTAAAGTAATAGTAATTGTTGTAATTCGATTGTCTTACACCTCATAGCTATAGCTGAAAAATTGGGCTGGGGTGCATGAGAATCTTCTTGGTTGCCTCTGTCTTGCCAGCCCCGCTCTCACCAGAAATAATTACAGACCTTAGCTGAAAACCAAGGTGGAAAGCATCAAAAATGCATCCCACATGTGCAGACTGAGTCACTGGTTCTTGGAATCATGCAGCATTGCCGTATATGAAGCAGCAGCTACAGAGAATAGATGGGGAGGAAGGTTTGCTTCCTCGCCATTTCCTGCAGAGTGAAAGCTCTGGTACTGTAAAAGAAAGTGTCGATCTGGCATGAGACGAGCCGCTTTACGACCGCTATATAAGTTGTGCAAACACTTCAGGCCTGCTGCCGCAGACTGCTCTCTGTAAAACTTCTGTTTTGCTACGGAGTACAGGCCAGGAAGGTTTTGAAATGGATTCACCTCAACTGGGCAAAACTGGGAGAGAAATATATATAGCTGCCGCTGGATTGCTGCAGCCAAGTTTCCGAAATGAGGATGGGACCTGAGCATATCTTGCAGCTCCAACGACAACAAGACAAAGAATTTGCGCCAAGCTGCTGCCAATCCCAGTGTAAATGCTGTCATCAAAATATCTGCAGCGGACGTTGTGCAAAAGGGCTCCTTCATTAAAGTCGCCGAGCGAAAGCCTGAGTGCTGCAATTCCAGCATAGCTGCTGACAAAACTGGCTTGAAAACTTGCAAAAACTGGATTGGACCACAACAAGAACCGAGGGGCAAGTCATCCACCCCTCTGATGCAGTTTGGATCGACAGGTCGCGCATCCTCCTGCCTCACCTCAAACTTGTCGCCCTGGCACAAGCCAACGGCAACAGGGTGGACTGGACAGAGAATTTAAATCTCTACACTCTACACAACTCGTCTGCCTTGTCATCGACAACGATGTAGTTACCTCTGCATGTGTTCATGCCCATTCCATGTCTGTGACATCTGTGGCACATACCCGGCGCACCATTTGCTCCAACAGAATCCACTCTGCCAGGGGCCCAACCCTGCAAACATCTGTCAAAAGACTCATCAAGAAACAAGAACTCTCAGAACTCCTTCTTCAATCCGCCTCCGAGGGATGATTCTCAATCCAAATTCTTGCATTGCTGGCGCCCCCAGAGAGTACCTCCATGGCCTGCCCTTTTTATATCGGTTCAATGTCACTTATTAAGCTGGAACTAAGAAAGTAGTCGGTAGCTGACTTGCAGCGGGCATGTGTTTGGGTCACTACCAAGTGAATTTGCAGCCCTAACGACTAATGGCAAAGTTTCAACAAAGTCAGTATCAAAAACACCGAAGGCAAATGATTATGCTCTAGGCTGCGTTCTTGTCAGGATTGTGGTGTTGAACCAGTCTCAGTATCAACGGATGACATGCTCAATATGAGAAGCAGGGAGCCTAAAGGACAGGCTGACTTTTAGGCGACAGTTCCTTGCACAAAAGGGTGGTCAAGTCAAGTGTCCACAAAGAAAAAAATGAGCTTTTCACACGCAAACACGTCTGAATGGTGCAGTTGCTACTTTTGCAACCTGGCAATCGCCACCATGAGTTTGCAAGCATGGTATGCTTCGGTCTGACTCTGTTACATATTTGGGGCATGCTTCAAACCGCAACTCGTTTGGCATTCATGTTTGCCACAGAGCTTGGGCCCGCATCATTTGGAGATGCCCCAGCTATTTCCTGGAGCTTGTGATACATTCTTGGGTGAAACAGAATCATCCGTCGACTAAGAGTGTGAGCGCCAGGTCGAGGGAGGGCTGCTCAAACCTGGGCAAGGGTCCAGAGGTGCTGTCTAGAGTCCAAAGTAGGTAACACAATGCGAGCCCAAAGCAGGTACAGTGACACATGGGAATACATTGAATACATGGAAGCAAGATCAACCAAACAATGGAAGCAACCTACCCTTGCGGGAGTTTCCTTACAAATGGTGGGGCATAGTCATGGAACTGAATGCATCATGTCATGCAGCCAGGCGGACCATATTGTTGTCCCAAGCCATTCAAGCTTTTCAGGCCAATATTCAAGCCTCCTTTATATAATCTACAAATCAAAAGTAGGTCTTTCTTGTGCGGGCCCGATCTCTGCTGCCTTCAGACACACATGTTTTCAGTCTTCTCTTTTCGTTCATTTTTTCTGTTCATTTCTTGTCCTTATTCTTTTCTTTTCTGCTTTCTTCTCTTGTCTCTTCTCTTCTCTTTTATTCTATGTTCTTTTCTTGTCCTTTCCTCTCCTCTCTTCTCCTCTCCTGTCGTGTCCCGTGTCCTTTGGTTTCCTTTCGTGTCCTTTCGTTTCCTTTTGTTTCCTTTCGTTTCCTTTCCTTTCCTTTCCTCCCTCTCTCTGTCCCTCTCTCTCTCTCTCTCTGGCGGGCATGACTCGTCGCGCTCTCTCTCTCTCTCTCTCTCTGTGGTCTCGCTATCTTCGTGACATATATGGCCTTTGCATTCAACGGCTTCTTTGCCGTCAGGAATGTCATGCTCGAACATCCTGTCCTGCACCTGTTGCAATCTAGGCCGAACACCTCGCCCGGAGGGTGCCTGTGTGAGCTCTGACCGGGCAGAGCTGTAAGGCATCTCCTTGGAAAGTTGTGACAAATCGGCAAGCAAGGTGCTAAGCACGTTGCTTCAGTGGGGATCCAATATTTATAAAATACAATAGAGTATAATGTAACATACGACAATACATTACAATATTTAAAGGCTCCCAGCACTTCACTCTCTTTTGTCTGCAATGCAAAGCCTGAGTGGTCATAAAATCAAGAAACAATCTCACAAAAAAGCACGGTTTGAGGCCCCCTGCCTCGGACCCCCCCC